CGAAAGCCTTGCTGAAGTCTAGGTAGACAACGTCCACGGCTCTCCCTTCGTCTACCCAGCCAGTCATGTCATCATAGAAAGCTATCAGATTGGTCAGGCATGATTTCCCCTTGGTGAATCCATGCTGACTACTCCTGATAACCTTCTTTTCCTCCACTTGCTTGATGATGGCCTCCAGGATAAGCTGCTTCATTACCTTTCCCGGGATGGATATAAATGTATATAAATGTCTGTTATCTCAGAAACTTGAAGAGGACTTGATAAGGCTGTTATATTTATCTATACGGGAAGTCAGTTTTGAGACACTCTTGTTTTTCATGGTTTTATTACCTACTTTGCTCTTCCTTCTGGTCTTCCTGAAAAGGTAGGCTTGAAAAATCTGGATTATTATAAATGCAATTTTTTTTTCCAGATTTCAGAATGGAGGGGTTACGAAAAAATAATAAAGAAAGTTCAAACGCTGGAGAAGATGCTGGGCCCAGTTATGCTGCCGCAAATAGTGCTGGGCCTAATCTCACTGCGGAGAGTTCCGTGCCTGCTGTTGTTACACCAAAAGATGCTGTAGCCAGATCTATTTGCCATACTCGACAAATAGACAGCTTTTCCTCTTCCCAAGGGTCTTTATCTGTTGCAAGCCACAGTCTGTCTAGGTTTTGCCAAAGCGCTGGTAGAGTTCTTTCCTTGCAAGAATTTTTAAAAGAAAAACAGGTTTAGTATTCAACCTTAGGTCTTGAAATAGATTTCCGGTTCTTTTCTCAGATTGTTAATTTCAGTTTATACTAATTATTTCTTTTTTCTTTTCCTTTCTTTTTCCTTTTTGTTTATATTCAGTTCTTTTATTAAATTATTCCTGGTAGAAAGTGAATGACCCTTTGTTTTTAACATTTACAGTATTTTAACATTTTAATATAATAAAGGAAGGAAGCAGGAGATATTAACTGGTAAATGTACACTGAAGCAAAGTTGTACCCAGCTTAGTTCCTGCAAATATTTACCCACTCTAGATACTTTAGTTTTAAATTGATATGTGATATTTCTGTATTAATATAATAAATTAAAATATTGTGAAAAATAAAACCAGTTAATATGACACACAAATATCTTAAAATCTAGCTGTAGTATATTTAAAGTTTGCTCTTTCTTGACATATCATCAGAATTGAATTTACATATTATAATAGTTCCTAATAATTTGTTTTTCCATTAGCCTCTGAAAATTTAAATATTTTTAAAGAGTAGGGAAGTTACGTAGTCTTATAATACAAGACAGTAGATTTCAGCATTAGTTTGAAGTTAAGTAGCAGGTTATTGTTACGATCACTTTGTGTATTTTTAGTTTGAAAGACATGTTTAATGTTTTAGGCTCGATACAAAGAAGCCAGAGAATATTGAAGAAGGAAAGTTGATGCTTCATATAAATACATATTTGAAGTTCTCAGTATCAGTCTAGGTTTAGACTTAATAACTGTGGAAGAAATGAATTTGGATGCCCCTTTGGTGAGTCTTTGCTGTCTGTCGATTTCAATTTTTAGTCAAAATACATAGCAGATCACTCCTTTGATATGAATAATTTATATTGTTTATATTGTTTCTGCCAGAAATTGTGATTAATAAGGCACACAACTCATCTAATATGATACCCGACTAATTATTCAGCTTAGTTTCCTGGCAGATTTGTAAATATTCCCAGGGTTTTTGATTGTGCCTTTTTCAAAGAAAATATAGGTACTGCTCTTCTTTTTATCCAAGGGTTTCTTGTCACATCCACCAGTTCCAACACGTTTCGTCCATCTCGGCCTGACATTATTATGTTGTAAAGATAATAGTCTTCATTTGCTAAGCTAGTCATTACTGAAATGCTAAAGATTCTGCAAAAATATGTGTAACTTCGTAGGAACATTTTCAAAAATTACGTGTTATCTAGTAATAGGAGGGAAAATTACTTTTGGAAAGACCCATTAAATAATTTCCAGGTTTGAGTGCTTTGTTTATTTTTGAATATTTAAAAGATGGGATAAAGTGGGT